GGTATTGGTGCAACTTTAGCTTTTTGAAATATTTAGCCTTTTCTGATGCTTTCTCATAGAAAATGAATTGAGCTCATTTTACATCCTTCAAATCTTTTTATCTGTTTACATCCTTTTACTGCTCCTTTCACATTTTGTTCTGGTTCAGCTTCCTTGTACAAATCCATCCATCCATTTTCTTTACCCGCTTATTTCATTTTGGGTCACGGGGGTCGCTGGTGCCCATGTCCAGCAATCACTGTGCGAGGGGCGGGGTACACCCTGGACGGGTCGCAAGTCCATCACAGGGACACATAGAGACAAACGAGACAAACAACCATTCACTCTCTCACTCACACCTAGGGACAATTTAGAGTTACCAATCAGCCTAACATGCATGTTTTTGGACTGTGGGAGGAAACCGGAGCACCCGGAGAAAACCCACGCATGCACGGAGAGAACATGCAAACTCCACCCAGAAAGGCCCCTGGACCGGGGTTTGAACCAAGGACCTGCTCGCTGAGAGGCAGCAGCTCTACCAGTTGCGCCACCGTGCTGCTCCTTGTACAAATGAAAAATAAATTAAAAACTCTGCTACTTTCAGCTGTTTTGTGCTCCTTTCAGATTCTTTCTGCTAACCAAAACATTTTTGTGCTTTTTCTGACTTATTTCTGTTAATTTCAGCTTGTTATGCTCCTTTCAGCATATTTCTGCAAGTTTCAGGTATTTCAGCTATTTAGCTATTTTATGTAAATTTTAGCTTGTTCAACTAATTCCACATTTTTTGCACTCATTTAAAACTTTTTTCAGCCTAATTCAGCAAAAATGTGCTCTCCACTTGTTTCTGGTCATTTAAGCTTCTTTGTGCCTTTTTAGCTACTGTTCAGCTTTTATTTCTGCAACTTTCTGCCTTTTTTCAGATATTTTCCACTTTTTTAAGCCTAATTGGGCACAATTGTGCTCCCTCCACTTCCTTCTGGTAATTAAAGCTTATTTCTGCTATTTTAGCTACTTTTCAGCTGTTTTTGTGTGTGCTAATTTCCACTTTTGTAGTGAATTCCCTAATTTTTGTGCTCCTTGCTGCTTATTTAAACCAAATTCAGCAAATGTGTTCTTTCTGCTTTCTTCTGCTAACATAGGCTTGTTCTTCCATTGCAGCTACATTATAGCATGATTTTAGCTCATTTCAGCTGTTTTTGTTCATTCATTTAACCTTTATTTAAACAGGTTAATCCCACTGAGCCTCAATGACTCATTTACAAGAGAGACCTGATTTCAACAAAGAATGATGACAACAATGGACAATCATAAAAGTCATACAGATTTTTTTTTTACAAGCATTCACACTACATTTTTGCAGGAAATGCAATTTCTCTAGTTTATATTGAGATTTTACCTATTTAAACTAAATCCCGCATTTCTTGGTTTAAATTAAAATTAGCTGGTCTTATATTGACATTCAGAATTAATTTTAAAATTAAGATTTTTCATGTAAATTACAAGAATAGCCTTGCGTGTGTCTTTTTGTGCTGACAGCTAATATTCTTCGTGGCGGGAATAAACTAGAACAATGCATGAACAGCAGGAAAAAAATCAACCGCTGACAATCTTGACACCCTGATGCTTCTCTATCATAATATTGTTGGTCGCCTCGCCTGAGGCAGTTTTCTCCACGCTGACCTTGTCTCTGTTTGAAGCCCGCGTGGCGTCTGCTTGTCCTATCACAACAGCACTGTTGTTGAGATACGGCTGAACTCTGAGTGACTTTCTCAAAAGGGCCGACTTCTGCTCTGTATTTATGGTGCAGTCGGTGTCGTGTGAGAAACTTTTTGTGCAAATGTTGGGAAAAAAACAAACAAACAAACACAAAACACCTGCTGGGATGTGCAGATTAAACCTGTTAAACTCTCAACTACAGAGGTGAGCCCAAGCCAAAAGTTTTACAAGATAATTATTATTTAACGCCACAAGACGAAGGCGGACAATAAGGTTTTTTTCATGTTCGTGTCTGTTGGCAAAACGTCCTGAACCACTTTACAACTGATTAACATTTGGAGTCTACCCCATTCTTCACCACAGTCAACCGACTTTCAGAAAAACAAAAAACGTCTTGTCAGTCAATTTTAAAGATATTGTGCTAAAACTTGATGTGGTTGTAGCTGACAGTCATTCCAAACGCATCCACCAATTGCTGCTTATTTCACAACATTTGTGTCTAAAACTTTAGCTGTTGGAAACCACTGGGTGGATTTTAATGAAACTCATTAAGAAATCACTGGATGTGCATCTGCAGCTGATTTAACTTTTGATGGCTACCACAGCTACAAGATATTAGCCAAAACGTTGGAACTGATTTTGAGCTACAGTTTGATGTGGAGGTAGCCAACAGCAAACATTTTTATTTTTAATGTTTAACCAAAATGGCTACAAGTTTATTTCTCGACGTAAGATGATCTTAGTCTTTACATTTGGAATCAAAGGCGGCAGATGACAAGCATTTCGTTATGCTCAGCCTACAATAGTGTGAACACTTCTGAAGCATTCACACTATTGTGATCCATTTTTCTTCCGTACATTTTTCGGCATGATTCTCATCCCATTTTTCAGCTATTTCAACAAATCATATCAAAATGTTCAGCTCGTTCAGAAGGGTGTTATGACTTTTGGTATTGGTGCAACTTTAGCCTTTTGAAATATTTAGCCTTTTCTGCCTCTTTTTTTCTCACAGAAAATGAACTGAGCTCATTTTACATCCTTCATATCTTTAGCTCTGTTTACAACCTTTTACTGCTCCTTTCACATTTTGTTATGGTTCAGCTCCCTTGTGAAAATTTTAAATATTTTTCAGCTACTTTCAGCTAATTTTAGCTGTTTTGTGATCATTACAGATTATTTCTGCTACACCATTTTTGTGCTTCTAACTTTTTCCTGCTAATTTCAGTTTATGTTCTTTTCAGCTTATTTCTGCAAGTTTTAGCTTTTTCTGCTATTTCAGCTACTATTTAGCTGTTTCTTTTCCCCTAATTTCAGCTTTTTTCAGATAATTTCCACTATTTTGTGCTAATTTCTGCTTCTTTCAACTTAATTGGGAAAATGTGGTATTTCTGCTTTCTTCTGCTAATTGAGGCTTGGTCTACCTTTTCAGCATTTTTAGATCATTTCAGTTGTTTTCAGGTAAATTCAAGTTTTTTGTGATAATTTTTGCTACTTTCAGCCTAATTAACTTCTTTTTGTTAATTTCAAGTGTCTTTGTTCCTGAGGTTAGAGAAGGTGAGCCTGTGATTGGAAGATCACCGGTTCAACTCCCAGTACCAACATCAAAATGTGGGTGGGGAAAGGTGAAGCACCCACACCTGCCTCCACCCTCATTTGCCCCACTCTGGACTCTTGAGCAAGGCTCTTAACCCCCACCATCTGCTCCCCCGAGTGCCCTAGAGAGCAGCTCTCTGCTCCACACAGAGGGCTGTGGTAGCTCAGTGGTCTGTGCTTGTGTCAGGAGGGGCTTTTCGTGTAAAAACAATCGCCAAGTCTTTGTGCAAGTTAGTTGGCTGTGGTGACCCCTGATGCAGGGATCAGCCGAAATAAAAATAAAAATGTTCCTTTCAGCTTTTTTCCCCTGAAATTTCACCTAGCAGTTTTGTGCTAAATTTAGGATTTTCAGCTAATTCCACATTGTTTGAGCTCATTTCAGCTCGTTCCACTTCCTTCTGGCAGTTTAAGCTTTCTGCCTTTTCAGCAACTTTTCAGCTATTTTCTTTGTTAGTTTCAGCTCTTTTTTTTTTTTTAGATAATTTCATATTTTTTGTGCTAATTTATGCTTATTTAAACTTAATTCAGCAAATATGTGTTCTTTCTGCTTTCTTCTGCTAACTTAGGCTTGTTCTGCTGTTTTAGCTACATTTCAGCATGTTTTTAGCTCATTTCAGCTGTTTTTCAGCAAGTTATTCAGCAATAAGCATTCACTGCATTTTTGCAGGAAATGCAATTTCTCATGTTTTGTAAACACTCCTGTCCCAACGCACAAACCACCTTCTAGCTTTGGTCGAACTGTCTTTCCCCGATAACAAATTTAACAACATATTTCTCCTCCTCTGAAAGTGTGAACACACACACCCTGATAAAGGAATGTAACCCTGAACAGGCCTGCATGAACCAACGGCTGCTTTTTTAACGACAACACTGGCAGAAACATTGAGGTGTGCTGAAGGTGAATGGTGTACGTGACCTTTACTGCGGTTTGTTTGTTTTCCCAACGCGAACAGTGAAAATGACCCCAAACAACAGAGTGTAACAAGTAAATGTTACAGAGACCGATGGCCCACAGATTAAATCTGTGATAGCCATTTCCTGGACAGTGATTATTTGGAGCACAAAAGGTTGTTGAGTTCAACCAAGAAATCCCCCCCCCCCCCCACCCACGCCCACACACCCAGACTCACGAGTTACTAACAAATAAAATGCGCAAAAATTTGGTTTTAATAGGCTGCATTTTTAAAGTCAAGTAAAATAGACTATTATCTATTTTATTTTCTAAAAAGCCCAGCATTAACTTAATATTACCTGCTTCTTTTCATACCAGAGTTTTAGACCAAGCTCTCGTGTTGGGAAATGTTGGGAGTTGTAGCCATTTTGGTTAAATCAACTAAAAAGCGTGCTTATGTAACTATTATGCACAATACTATGCGATATCACACTTGAAATATGCGTGAATGACTCTCAGCTAACGCAGCGCCAACATTTTAGCTCATTATCTGTAAATTTCAATGCGTTGTAGCCATTTTTGTTTCGGCTAACGCTGATCAGCAGTGGTGATCGTCATGAGTTTGTTGAGACCCAAAGGTATCAACAGTAAATGTACATTCATTCAACCTTTATTTGTACAGGTTAGTCTCATTGAGCCTCGAGGGTACATCTGTGGATTACTTTATGAAAGTTACATTAACATCTGTTAAAGGTTTAGACAAATGGACACACAAATGGACTAAAACTCAGGATTTTGCAAAGTAAAATCAGAAACCCACCTGGGTCATCTTAGCCAGATCCAGCGAAGGCCTCTGTTTGTGTGAGTCAGCTGGTCTCCTGCGCTTCACTCCAATCTTCTTGTCATTGAGGACACATGGCTGTGAGCGACTGCGGGCGAGGCCGCCCTGACCGCCGCGACGCTCCAGCTCTGGAGTGGAGTCAGGGGAGCTGGGCGGCGACGATCCTTGAGCCTCGGGGAGGCAGATTTGTTCATGAGAGAGGTAGCAGGGCTGGGCTGAGGGCTCGGATGAGGGTGTGAGGCCGGTGAAGGCAGACGGTTGTGGGAAGTGCTGGGTGAAGCACAGCGGCTCCACAGTGTTTGAGCAGGCAGGTAAGCTGAAGCTGGAACTGCGCTGCATGGCGGGGAAGCCCACCTGTGTGTTTCCAACGCTGCCGCGCTGAACGCTGCCTCCGCTGTGGCACCTCCTCTTCTCCACGGCCGTCCACACGCGGGAGCCCTGAGGGCGCCAGGTGGAGCGGCAACTTCCAAGCTCACCTGAACAAGACAGGGACCGGCACTGACGTTTGCTGGGAGGCGCGGTAGCGTGGGAGGAGGCAGCCTCAGTCAAGCTCAGGTCCTGCAGCAAACTGGTGATTGTGCTGGATTTGGTGCCAACGTCCCAGTCCCAGTGGGTAGAAGTTCTGTGCACCTCAGGCAGGACGTCCCACAGGCTCTCCAGACTGGTTCCTACTGGCCGCTGCTGTAACGCACAGCTGTGCCCCACCTCACGCCACCGACTGGTCCCTGTAATGAAACATTTCAAAAGATTAGATGCCTAATTAAAAATACTTTATTAAAAACATACTTGGACATTTGAAGATAGATTTATATTTTGGTCATAATTGTGTAGACTTTTTTATTTTATTTTTAAACGTTATCGTCTGTAAATGTGTGAAACATCATTGTGCACCCTGTGTGCTTCCATTTTTCACTTTATCACTTTCTGCTGATACGCTGGAATGTCTCCACTAAGGAGCAAATAAAAGATTATTCTACTCCAAGCTCAAATATGACAACATTATAAATTAACGTATTTCTACTAATTTTGTACACCATTGTGCATCTGTAAATCTAATTTGCCTTTCAAATATCAAAAATCTATTGTGTTCATTTTAAACTGTGCTGAAACGTTGAGAAAGTCAGCGCAGGTGCTGCCTACTGTTTGTCCTAGTAGAGCTACTGTAGTTTCCTGTAGTTGAAACGTTTTGTAGTAAAGTTGCGTGTTTAAATGTGTTTTTTTTCCACTCATCCCTAAAAACTGTGTAAGTAATAGTTGAAGTTATCATAACATGACTGTCTTAAATAATGACTTTGAAATGTTGATTTGTGTATAAATTTAGTGACAAACACAATGCTAATTACTTTAGCTTTTCTATGGCATTTTAAATAAGTTAGCATCTATGCTAATTGTTGGTTAGCATCTATTGATTAAATGTTTTTTTTTTGTATGATGTGCATTCTTTTTTGGACATATAACTTTATAATTGTACTTATTTGTGTAAAATAACCCAAAGTTATTTTAGTTTCATAATTTAAATGCATCAAAAACCATTTTACAAACGCAATCCGCTGAATTTTAAATCAAATCATGAGGTGCCTAAAGATTCCTACGTCTACCCAGCATCTATACTCTGTTGACACTTCTCTGTGCTTCGTGTTAAAAATAAACTCCGTCCCTCAGGCAAAGTGTCTGTATGCACAGCTGACTGGAAAACAAAGACGCTCCATGTTCAGACGACTCACTACAGATTCTGATTAAAGCTAGTTGTATTTTCTTGACAGTGACACCACGTTCGGAAAGTGCCTGTAACTATTCTAACAAAAATACTTCTGATTCTGAATATGGTTAACCAACTGAACTGGGTAGTCAACTCTGAGCCAGTAGCTGGACGTCAAAGCAACTATATGCAGATCGTCTATTCTTCCTTTGACAATAAAATCCACCAAATACCATCAACTATACGTAAGCGAAACGTGGAACAAAAGGCCTGCTGGTAATGTTTTGCTTAGTTTTTTAGCCGGCGCTTTGTGTAAGAGGCACCGAGTGCCAAGTTACAAAAGAATATGTTTATTATAAATATAAAGAGAATGAAGAGCCTTCGTGATTAGAACCTCAGAGAGAGAGAGCACACTCCTTTACATGTGCAGGAGCGTCATGAGATTTAATAAACTGCTAACATGTCGTCACTTGAACACGTTTATGTAGGCAAAACCACCTGCCTGACATTTTTCACATAATTTCACTCTTTCAACCCAATGTGGAGGTGATTGCTTGGAGCCATTCTCCCAATAATTTCCAATATTACATTAAAACAAGCACCTCTTAATCACCTGACACTTTCAGGCTTTAACCGGTTTGGGATGAGAAATATTATGAGAGACAGAGATTGTTGGAGGAAAAGAGAGCAGAATGATCAAATCTTACCCATGAGTCCACAAGAGAAAAGTGCTGCACCCTGGCTCATGGTTTGTGCCTGAAACTGTTGTAGTACGAGAAAAAGAATTGAAGGGAACAGTGTTAGCTCTTCAAGACGCCACAGAAACAATTAATAAATTAGCTAAAAGTAAAGTTTTAGCTGTTCCCAATGGAGAGTTCTGCAATAAACGCCTCCAACACTCAGCCACTATGCAACATGATTTCATTTCCAGAGACCGAAAGGTCAAACTCTGTCCACATTAGTGGGGGAATTTTCTCACTCTGTCCTGAGTTACTGTTGCAAAGATGCAGTTTAGAGAATAAACCAGCTTAGTGGAACAATAATGCATTAACGTCCTTCAAAGTGAATTAAGGTAAATAATTATGGAGGATTGAAATGATGGAAATTGACACAAATATCTGTAATCATAACTTAAATATCCTCCCCTCCTGACCATAAACATCCCCATTAGTCCTCTGACATCATGTCCTGTGAGTCATTACCCATTTTCATCTTTGATTTAGCCTAACAAAACAGGACAACTAATATACAAAGACAGAACTGACGTGGACTCAGTTTCCAAATTGAAAGCAGCGACTTGTCCTCTCGTTGACAGGCACAGCTTAAATCTCTTGGCACAGCTGAATAAACATGAAATGACATTTCACACGCAAAGGAAAACGCCTTAAGCAGTCAGAAAACAACTTCTCACCGTGCCCAAGTCCGTACGTGTGGAGGTTACATCGTCGCCAGCCTTTTTCCCCAGTGTTTTCTTGTAGATGATCACCATGGCAACACACATCCTTGTTCCCAGTTGTTCCAGCAACTTAAACTGGAGGACATCTTGACGCGGGGACGGTGCGAGCAGGCAGGTTTTGCTCTCAGCTCCTCCAGGAATGTGCTTCACTCTTCGGCCCGATCCTGAGTGGATGGACACAGGATTAGAATTCAGCACATTTCTTACATTCTGACGACCATATAAGCAGACGCTCATCGGTGGAGGCTTGAAATGCATCAAATAGGAAGAAAACCAAAAGGGTCACAAAAAAGAAGTACCCGCTGAGAATTAGAGTATCTAAGCTACTCTGACAAGTTTTTAGTTTGTTCCTTTTCTTAGAAAGGCAGATGAATTTACCGACACCAATAATGGTTCTGTCAGACATAATAAACCTCAAGCCAATTGCTAATATTAGCTTACTTTCATACTATAAAGCTTACTTTAATAGAATTACAACCAGTTAGCAATTTAAAAGCCAAATTTCACTTGAACTATCGGATTAACTTTTATAAATTCTCGCATAAAATCAGTTCATGTTTTTTTTGTGGATATGCAATGCTTTATTTTCAATTGGCTTGTGTGATAATGCATTATTTCAATTCTGCTCTACTTTCAAGCTAAATGTGACCAGAATATCCCCATAAAAAATACATTTTAAGACTAAAGTCACTAAATCAAATCACAAATAAAAAACACTATTACTATATTTTCCGGCGTATAAGTCGCTGGTTTTTTTTTTTTCAGAGATTTGTCAGTCCTGCGACTTATATAGGTTTTCTTTTTTTTCCATATTCATAACGCAATTTTTGAGTGACACTTTAAATTTCAAAGAACAGCAACAGCGAGTCCTCCTGCTCACTTCACTCAGCTGGTGCAGGAGGAGGAACGCTGGATGGCTCGTGACTCCAGCTGCGATGTATGGTTGGTTGGTTGGATGGATGGATGGATGGATGGATGGATGGATGGATGGATGGATGGATGGCGCTGTGCCGCCCAGGCGAAATGAAGCTGTTTTGACTGTTAAATAAATGTATAATAAACATGACGGGTCAGCGGTGACGCATAATATATGCGACTTATATACGACTTCTATACGTTTTTTCTTCTTCATGATGCTTTTTTTTGACTGATGTGACTTCTACGCCGGAAAATACGGTAGATATTTTAGAGCACTAAAGTGATTCAGAGAATTGGAGACTTTTCTCTATGTTGGTGTCGATTTCATTTTAAAGCCCACTGAAAACCATAGAAGTTGGACCAATGTGTTGTACAAAAAAATTAAGTAAAAACAATGAAAACACATTTCATTCAAAAGCAAACTTATATAAATCAGATGCATAAAAGTCGATACTAAACCCCACATTACCACAAAATAAATTCAACTTCATAGGTACAAACTAAACATGTAAAAAAAAAAAAAAACATTTGCAGTTGTCACGAGTGTCTTGGTCCTGATGTCTCCAACTTTTGACGCATGTCAATATTAAAAAAAAAAAACTGGTTAAAATCTGTGTATCTTTATTTCAAACATGCACACCAGCCAAGAATTCAGCTTTGCAAGATGTGCACATAAATGTAAGATGTGATTTTTATTTTTTTTAATGGCTTGCTATGCTTGGTCGCAAACATTTTCATTAATAAGTTAAATTGACTTTCTCACAATTTGGAGTCACCAACTGGTCTCCAACAGTTGCTGCCCAGTGATTTACTACTGAAGTGTTTATTGGTTAGAACTGATCACTGCTGTTTTCCTTCACAAAGACACTTCTAACCTTTCATGAATGACACAGAATAATTTTAAACAGTGAAACACCTAAGCACCATCTCAAACACATGGATTCTGTTTGTGTGGCTCCTACATGTGCATCCTGTTCAGCTCTACATGTGGAAACTCATGAAAATTCAGGAGAGCATAGTGGTTTCCTTTTCCTTTCATTTCAGATGGGTCTGGACACATGGACCAGTACGACTGGCAGCGTGTCACCTGTTTAATCATTTATTGGGCTGTAAATTAAAGTGACACAGCATTTTCACTTCCACATGGCCTCACCCAAAAGTGGAACTCTATCTACACTTTGTTTTATCTTAGTGAAAGACAGAGCGAGTTTCTCTAAAAAGTGTTCCTCTCTGGAGCACACAGGAGTGGAGCAAAGTCAAAGTTGTGTAACCGACTCCTCAGGGGCCGGCTGAGAATAGCTGACCTTGCGGTTATCAAAACAACCCGTCTTCACATTAATGCCTCACCGTGATTACAGTAAAACTGCCCATCGGTCCCAGATGTAAGCCTATATAATCCTCACGGAGGATCTTACCATCACGGGATCGGTTACACATTTGAGGCCACATCAGGTAGAGGATCAAAGCAAAGTGGACACGAGATGGTCGTATGACGCCTGCAAGGTCAGAGGGGTGTCTGTTTAAATGACAACTGCAGGACAGAGAAGAGAGGGAACAGAAAGAGACGCTGTGCGTGAAACAAAAGGGTGGTCTGTCAGATGGCAAGACACCGTGAGAATCAGAGGCAGCATCAGAGGTTGTGGGTGTCGTGTTGGAGTGTGCGGGATGGGACATGCATGATTTCCATTGCTAACACTTACAGTACCAGGTCGAGAAAACATTTGAACTATTAAAGGCCCAGCATCCCTTAAAAGAAATACTTATCGCCAGCTACATTTCATGTCAGAGTTTTAGATCAAGATCATCTTATGTTGACAAATGACAGAGTTGTAGCCATTTTGGTCAAACCTTGAAAGTAGGGATGCACGATATTATCAGCATGGTATCGGTTGATATTAGCGATAAAATTAAATATCGAACATCGGCCATACCATCAAAAAACCACACCGATATAAAAGGTGCCGTTTTAAGTTAATTTTTTATTTAAGAAACTGTCAAGTATTTCTATTAATGCACTACCACTTGTGCACTTTTCACTTGTTGCTTGTTGACTGGTTGAGTTTAGATTTGTGAAAATTTACAAATTTGTACTGTTTGAGTGTTGTCATTGTGTTAGAGAACGTAAATGTGATGAATAAATTTAACATTAAACATAACCCAAGTTGAAGTGTCACATCATTTTCAGCCCCCTTTTTTGGCATCTGCATTTGGCAGTGAGCCAAACTGACAAAGACCATGCAGAATAATGTATTTTAATTCCACAGCAGAGAAAGCTATGTAGTCTCTGTAGGTCTAGGGATATATATATATATATATATGCATAAATATACATTATTCTGTAAAAAAAAAAAAAATAAGTGTTAACATATCGGCATATTGGCCAAAAACCCCATATCGTGTACCCCTACTTGAAAGTATTATGTGCAATATGCAAAATCACAAGATGTCATGCTCAAAGTATGACAACCAGAACATAAAATTTTAGCTGAATATTTCTAAAACTGACTGAATTATAGCAAGCTAACATGGATTAGCTGTGGTGGCCTTTTTTAATTGACTCCAAATGTTGAACAGTTCTAGATGTGCTTTCAATGATTACCTTCTGAGAGTTTTAATAAAACTTGTCCAGTAGTTCATGAGTCATTTTTGTAAAAGAATTACATAAACACACAAATAGACACAGCCACCCTGTTGGCGGCGGGTGATAATGAGGGTGTTCTTCAAAAACAACACCCGTCTTTAGCTTTTATCTTGAGCAGAAAGGAACAGAGCTTGAGGCGGGACTGAGTCGGGACAGATTATAATGTGCTTGACCATCAACCACAAAGATCTGAGATAACTCTGGATATGCTGGCTAGAGGAAGGAATTGTTTATTTATCACTCGTTTGGCCTATAGATAGATACAAATGACACAAAATAAAAAAGAAAACTCTTTGACCTGAAGTTTACTCAAAGGGGACATTAAATGAAGTTTCCCTTCTCTGGAAAAACAGTAAAAATGTTTCTCATCTTGATTCTCACTGTAAACAACCATTACATTTAGTTAGAGCAAAATGCAACGGTTTGATCATCTTTCTCATGCTCTGGGTTTTTTTAATCCCATATATCTAAACTGATCGCTTTATATGGGTGAGGTTTATAACATAATTAAAAACATTCCTAGGCCCCATGACACAAGCTGAACACAGAGTTATAGAAGCCGAACCTAGCCCCGCAGCCTTGGAAAACCATTCAAAACTTGCCTGTTTTTTTTCTTTTAAATAAAACGACAAAGTTAAAACTTCTGGGAAAAAGGAAGCCTACTTTTTTCTTGGACAGAGGAACCTGGAGTGCTAAAGCAGGAGTCACATTGAGGCAGAATTGGCAGTTTAATGTGTGCACCCAACCCACTCACCTCATACTGAATGCATTCAAAATGCAGCTAAATTAAAAGACTACCATTCCTTGGCGAACTGCATTTTGCCACTTTTCATGTCAGAATTCTGAGCTAAGATTAGGTTACGATGAGAAATAACAGAATTGTAGCCACATTGTAAATTGCATTATGCAAGATCTCATGCAATATTGCAAGATATGTTGCTCACCTACATACACGCAAAGTTTTAGCTCAAAATCTGTAAAACTAGTTGAGTTATACCCATTTTATGTAGGGCTAAGGTCATGGAGCTGTTGTGGCCATCTTTAATTGGGGTAACTAAAAGTGTTTCAGTTAAAGATGTACATGTTATTTAAAGAAAGTTTATTTTAAACACAAATCTAGTGAATTAAGAGATATTTTGCTAACACACTGGGGATTGATGGCTGGATATGGGCACCAGTGACCCCCGTGACCTGAAAAGGAAGAAGTGCGTAAAGATAATGGATGGATGGACTGAAGCTTGATGCAAACAAATAATGCCAAGCTTTTAATGAAACGTACTGAAGCATGTGTTGAGAAAAGACTCGGCTACTACCACACTAAATTTCAGCTCACTATATAAAATTGAGTGAGAATTAATTTTCGTTGGCTAATGTCAGCTAGCCAGTTGGCTGTTGCGGCCATCATGAACTGGGGTAACTCCAAATGATAATCAGTTATGATTTATATCTAATGTTTAAGAGGGTGGCACAATTGCTCAGTTGGAAGAGGTGTTGACTCTCAGCGAGGTCGTTGAATCAAATACCGGCTGGGGGACTTTCTGGTTGGAGTTTGCATATTCTCTCTATGCATGCATGGATTTTCGCCAGGTACAGTAGTCCGGTTTC